AGTGAGAGAGGATCACAAACGATTGGTGGAAAAAAGACCAAACGAAACAAAAAAAAAGAACTTTCCATGTGAAATCTTCATCAGAGGTTCTTCTTGTTGATTTGCTCCAACCAGAGACGACATAATCCCTCATCAGCCTTCTGTAGAACATGTCTTTAATAGCTGCTAATCTTCCAGAGACACTGCTGAGCAGCCCAGCTCTCTCTCTCTCTCTCTCTCTCTCTCTCTCTCTCTCTCTCTCTCCTCTCTCTCTCTCTCTCTCTCTCTCTCTCTCTCTCTCTCTCTCTCTCTCTCTCTCTCTCTCTCTCTCTCTCTCTCTCTCTCTTTCTCTCTCTCTCTCTATCTATCTATCTATCTATATATATATATACATATTTCTCTCTCTCCTCCTCTCTCTCTCTCTCTCTCTCTCTCTTTCTCTCTCTCTCTCTCTCTCTCTCTCTTCTCTTTCTCTCTCTCTCTCTCTCTCTATATATATATACATATTTCTCTCTCTCCTCCTGTCTCTCTCCATCTCTTTCTCTCACTCTTCCCCCCCCTCTCTCTCTCTTTTGTCTCTCTCTCTCCTCCTGTCTCTCTCTCTCCTCTATCCCCCTCCTTCTCTTGTCCTTATTTACATGCTACAGCACTTGGCTCTGTGTTCAGGCATCGGCTCATAAATTAAACAATTATGTCATAACACAATTAAAATGTGCATCATGTTGCTAAAAATAAAAGCAGGACTCTTTATTTCTCTTTTCCCTTCACTGAATGATGTCTTTACTGTTATCCATCCCATCAGAAACCTTCAAAATCTCCCTGTGGTCTTTTTGTGGATGAAATGAGCTGAAAAGATTTCTTTTTTCTCGTTGCTGCCTAATGGACCCAGGATCCAACCAGAGAACAGAAAGCTCTAAAAAGCAGCACTCGTTCTTGACCTAAGGGAGGATGAATCTACGTGTTTAGTTGCTCGGGAGCTTCTCTATGTTCAGACACAAACAGCAGCAGAATATTTCCGCACGGGGAGGGCAGAAGACGACATCTGGACCTTGGTTTTGTTTAGCTGCGCTGAGATGTTTCCAGGGAGCTATTCTGGATGTCTGCGACGTGCGGGGCGATCGTATCTGCTGGAATGTTGTTTCAGCAGCTGAAAACTCGGGAGAGGAATCTGTGGATGAGTGTGTTGAGAGGTGACAGGCTCTATTTACCCAGTTGATCATTAGAGACAAAAGAAACAGTGAACATGATAACCAATTACAAGCACGGAGACTGAGAGAGAGAAGGGAGTTAAGTACGTTCATTAGTGCTTTGTGTCACATTGGTTAATTGTTCAGTGAAGTGAGTGGAATAATAAGTGGAGGAGGATGTTGCGCCTTTGGTGAAACGTTCACGAAGAATCGTTTTTCAACATCCGTGCCTCTCATCGTCCCACATACGCCAGAAAGTTTACTTCTGGCTGACGGCTCCAGAAAATGGCCGTGTCAGTGTTTGGTAAACTGCCCACCCTCCAAACACCAACTCTTACTCACACTGTGTGGGATGCCACCAAAAATTCTCTTTTCATCTCAGAGAAATTTTCTCTGCAGCTGAACACAAAAGAGAAAGTGAAAACACACACAGAGTCCACTCAGCCTGCTTAGTGTTGAAAAAGAAAAGAAAACACAGTTTTAGCTGATTTTTTGAGCATTTGTTATGATGCGTAACCATGGCAACAAGCTGGTTTACAATCAGGAGCAGCTGATTAACATTGGAAAGGCTGAAATAATACCTCAACTGAAGCCACAAATCCCAAATGAGCTAAAACGCAAGAAGCGTGGGTGCAGAGCGGGAGCAACACGGAAACAGAGAAAGTGGAAATTCAAACCATCTCTTCCATCGATCATAATGGGCAATGTGAGATCACTGGCCAACAAGATGGAGGAACTCCAAGCCCTTTCAAGGACTCAGCCAGAGTTTCGGCAGTTTCGGAACCGCTGGAGGAGATAATACAAAGAAGGATTCTCCAGAGAATCAAGAAAATGATGGACAACCCTGAGCATTCTCTTCACAAGACTGTCCGACAACGGAAGAGTGTCTTCAGTCAGAGGCTTCTTCAGTTTGGCTGCAACACTGACCACTACTGGAGATCCTTCCTGCCAACAGCCACTGTAATATACAACAACTCTTTGATGACTTGATTATTATTATTGTTCTGAGCTACTACAGCAATCAGTTTCCCTCTGGGATTAATAAAGTATTTTTGAATTGAATTGAATTGAATTTACTTGACGGAGAGCTGAACTCCAACCGCGTTTGAGTTTGATCGTTTTATGCCGTGAAACGATGGAATTGTAGCTGTTTTTGGTCAAATCCTAAAAGTAAAGCCACCAGTTACTGTAACACACTGAGAATGTGTTGGAGATCACATTAAAGTCTGATTTATACTTGTCCACCTGCGTCGGTGTGGAGACACGCAACGCCATTACGCAACAGGGCTCTCTGACGGGCTCACAGAGGGTGACGGAGACATGCCCAAAATTTTTTTAATCTGTTGAAAGTGACGGAGACCACAAGCTTGTGATTGTTCAGGGCACCGCTTCCTGTTTATTCGTCACCAGCACCCATGGACGTAATTTTGGGGGGGAACAGGGGGAACATGTCCCCCCCCCCCCCCCCCCACTTTTTCCAATATCAAGTTTTGACCCCTGCACTTTTTACTATCCAAAAACAATATTACGCTATATTAAAGTGACACTGGTTGAGCTCTAGGACCAAGCGGAAAACAACCATTTGTGTTGAAGCCTGTTTCCCATTAGAGCATGCTGTAAAGATACCCCCCCCCCCCCCCCCCCGTGTCTCCCCCACTTCTAAAGTGAAAATTACGTCCATGCCAGCACAGCTGTAGCACCGTTAAAAATTAATCAGATATTTAGCGGCAGACTCAGAACAGATTGAAGAACGCATCTCGGAAAAAGTCAGAAAATATGAATATTTATTCACCCGTGAGTGAAGGAGTACGTAATACGCAGCAAACGTGGACGGAAACTACGGAAAAGGTGGGTTTAGAGGTGGCGACCGCATGAAGAGGTTGAGGAGAACAAAGCATGAATTTGCCTGTGTTAAAAAGTCTGAAAAATATGAACACAGTAAATACACTATCGTGGACCAGATACATGAGTGTTATGGTGGCAGGATACCACAGAACAGCGCTACGCCCTCTGTTGTCCTGGCGGGGAATTGCTTTGCAACACTCCGCTGCCTGAACAGAAGTTCAAAAGTGAAAACCTTCCCAACACTCCGTGTGCGTCTCTCTGTTGCCAAGCTCACAGAGAAGCATAAATCAGGCTTTAGATGCATAACATCAAATTGTTGCCCAGATCAATGAAAAAGAAGTTAAACACATATTTAAAGAGCAAGTCAACCCCTACCAGAGTCTAACTCCACTCCCACTTCATGTTTGAAAAATGCAACAAATGCTGTTGCCTGGCAGACCGAGAGGGCGGAGCCGCTAACAAATACACACACACACACAGGCTCACGACAGCATTGTGACATCATAATGTACCAGTTTACATCATAGCGTACCTCTTAGCCAACAGCGGCGGCAGATTTAAATTCAAATACAGTGCAGAGTTTTTACCTGACAAAGGCACAACACTGCCAGTTTTAGGAAGAATATTTAAATTTTAACTAAGATGCACTGAAGTGCCAAATTATTGACGACATGTGTCTACAGCACAATTAGACACTCGTTTATTTAGTTTATCAGCAAAAAAAAGTTTATTTAGGGGGTGACTTGCTCTTTAAACAAATCAGTTTAAAGGCTGAATATGGAGTACAAACACCAAAGCAACATCTAGTGTGTGGAGGCTGTAGTTGCAATAATAGGACAAGGTTTCCAGCCACTGGGATACCAGGTTCACTGTCAATACGTCAGTTTCTTCTGTTGTAGGCTTCACCTAAACCCACTGGTTTTAGATCTTTTATGGTCGCTCCTCTTCTGAGAAGAATACTAACATTTTCTGGGCTCAGATACAGCATGCTTGACTTGCTGAGTTTGCCATTTTCCACCGTGCCAGCCTCACTGTGCAGAGCAAACTGGCAACCCGCAATGGTGCCCTCTATTGGCTAGTAGATGTCAACAAAAACCCAGTGTTGTTCCAGTCAAAATAAAGATGTGATTATTTTTTAATTGTGATGTAGGTTTTAAAGGATATGTTGTATCTCCATTCTGCACACCTCTAAATGCCCTGTGTAGGTTTTATTGTTGTATTAATATGGTGTTTTATTTAATAATTCTATATTAAACCTTTAAAATATTCCCGAACATAAAAAAACGATTATAATGCTAGTTCACAATCAATGTGTACACTTTTGCTTTTAGAATTTAGAATTTAATATTCATGTTTTTCAAATGTCACTCCTTGATATGAAACAAGACCCAAATCAACTACAATGTATAAAAAACAGAAAACACCTGCAAAAGTCCCTGAGCCTTTAAATTGTCTCTCAGTCTAGTTGAATTACTGAAATAAATGGAGATTCAAATTTTTCCAGTTTCACTTGTTTGTATAATTGGGTGTTTTTATTACTCATAATGTAGTAAAAGCATATATATTTATTTATAGTTTATATATATATATATATATATATATATATATATATATATATATATATATATATGTATATATATATATATATATATATATATATATATATATATATATATATATATATATATATATCCTTAAAAATGACAGTAGAACAAATATGATCTAGGACTTGAATTTACTAACTTTTAACACCAGAGCAGGAGTGACATATTCTGCGATTAAGAACACTAACTGGCTCCAGTTGGATGACTGGAGGATGATAGGAAGATAAAAGATCATGACGAGGATCTGCCTAATGATAGTAACGCATGTGTAACCCAGGTTGTCTTAGGTTATTGAGCCTAAATTCCTTTAAAAAATTCTCCATTGTTAGGAACCGTTTTTCGGTAGTATTAAAAATTACGAGGGCTACTTGAACGCAGCATGGAGCCGAGCTTTGCAGCCCTCCCCACACCGGAGAGAAAAAACGTTTTTGTCCAGGCTGAACAGGTGAGCAGAGGTTCAGTTAACTGCCGTCATCGAAGTAATAGATGACTGGAAACTTCTAGGAATGTAAGGTTCATCACTTGAGAAGGGTTTAAGATTATTTGTGAGAAGTTTTTATTGAAACAAAAGTGTTTTATGATTATAGAGTGTGTTCGCCACTGAAGGAGGAGCCGTTAGAAGTAGACCTCGATTTGTTTTTTGAGGAAACCCTTTGGTGAGTTAATTTAATGTTTCATGGACTGAATGTTTATGTAGATGTGAAACGAAGTAGAAAAAAAACGTTGATGTAAGCTATGCTAAGCTGTGTTCTGTGAAATATATGTATGTTTTTGAACTTTGTGACGGTCTCGTGTAGCCGCATTTTTAAGTCACCCGGCTAGCTGTTAGCTCAGTTTCTGTGAGTAGATGTGTTAAACTGTTGAGAAAATGAATTGTACACAAATTTCCTGTGAAGATAAGGTGATTTGTTTTGCTTTTATATTCATTTTGTTAATGAAATCTTCTTTTCCACGTATAGTTATTTTGAGTTTGGAAGATAATAGAAAAAAGAGAGTGACATTATTATAATTTTGTTGCATATGTTTTATGCAGGCTTGTTGATTGAGGGTTAAATCACCTTTTCCTGCCTGGAAAGCCAACACATTTAAGGACTCCGATGCACTGCTTTGGTCCACTGGAGGGGTATTGATACTCATGGGTGCCACATCCATGGCAGGATGTCTTCATCATATCCTGTTTCGTCAAAGATGTGGTAGGATCATTTAAGACCTCTACACGATTCAAAGGACTAAGGGTTTTTTTCCCTTCCTGAGTGAGGGTTTGGACTCTTTTTTTGGCAACTTTCCAACATTTTAATGGACTGAATTATCAATTTGCCCAAAAGCAAGAAGACTGTGTGACATAGTCCTGAACACATTGTTAAAGGACAATTGGTTTTATTTATTTATCTATTTATTGATTGTTCAATTTTATCATTCCTCTAAGAACCCTCTAGGAGAGGGAATTTAGCATTTATTTCCTTTATGATGAATTTTAAAAACTGTTACCTACTTCAATAGATTTAATTTGTTGAATTGATTGTTGTGTGTGTGGTTTGTGGGTTGGAGGTTTCAAACCTCAGATAATGAGCTACTACTGCTAAGAACCCAGCAATAGAGTTCAAAGGAACAAAAAGCAAGAAACTTTAGTAAATAAGACACATTTGATCCTGTAGCTCTCACAACACTTTAACTTTGAAGAAGTATTCCGCGCTGATATATTTGAATACAGATACTCAGTTTTTCAGGGAGCCACAGGTTACACATGCAATGTTTAAACAGTCACTCATCTCAGACACATATAATAAACCAACAAAATTGTTTAGAAAACTATCAGACAGATTCTAGAGTGTTTCTGTTACTTTATTACTTGTTGTTTGTAACTGTTTACAGAGTGGCGATGACACAGAGCATTTTCCCAGCTTTAGCCAGGTGCCTCTCGTTTGTCTGACTACTTTCATAAACTAAAGTTAAGAGCAAAAAATTATTCTGTTTGGTGCTTTCAGCGCTGCACAAATATTGGATAAATGTTGAAAATATAGCTTACCTTGACTTTTGTAAAGTTTCTGGTGCCACCAGGCAGCTGCACCAGAGATCAGAGACAATCTCTGAATAATGTTCACAACATGGGCGCCGCAGTTGTCAGGAAAGAGGCTGACGTGTTTTCCAAATTCTGCATCAGTCCAAGCAAGGCCATTTCTTTCCTTTTTTATTCTGATTTAGTAGCCTTTAACAGAGCACGGTGCATTGTTGTGTGCGTCAGTGATATTCGGTCTGCGAGGAAATCATGCATTGACAAAGATTCTGCCTTGCTTGAAATGCAAGTTGTGATAAAATGCATGACATTTTTTACACATCATTGTTTCTAATTAATTAATTAATCAGAATTAATGCGTTAAAGTCCCACTCCTACTTTATATTTGTTAAACATTCTTGAGTTGTATTTATAGATTACAACATTTACGTTATTGTTTATCCATCCTCTTCTGTTTATGGAGGAAACATTTAATATCATACAGCTGATCTCTGTATTTAAGATCAAGCAGCTGGATAACCATTTGGCCTCAAAAATCCACCACTTGTCTATTCTCTGATTGGACAGTCAGAGCAAAGTGCTGGTGATGGTATCTGAAGGGGTTTGAATGAAGGCAACTGGACTTCTTAGATAAATAATAAATGACCTGCACTTGTATAGCACCTTTCAGAGTCAGAGACTCCAAAGTGCTTTACACTACAGTGTATCCATTCACACACTGATGATGAGCTACGATGTAGCCACAGCTGCTCTGGGGCTAGGGCTGCAACAAATGATTATTTGGATAATCGATTAATCGGATGGGGTCTCGACACGATTAATCGATTAATCAGATTACATGGGGAAATTTTTAAAAACTGCTAGGGAAACGTTATTTCTCTCCTTCCTTCACTTTATTTAACACAACATTATTAGAAAACAGTTCAATAGCAGAAAAACAACATGCCATCACCTAAATTGTCTTATAAGGTGTATAGACAGAGACCCTAAGCTACATATATCTGTGACCTAAAATGCTTGCTCCAAGTTAAACAGTTTAAGGGCAATTCTCATGTGTTTTGTTTGATCTCATCTGTTGACATTTATTTTAAATGTAATTAAACATAGGCTGTGAATTAATCAAAATTGATCACTATTTCCAAAAATGACTGAAAAAATACCAAATAAAACAAAAGTAAATGAATGCCATCCTCCTTGCGATGATGCCCTGGGCAACTGCCATAAAGTCACATCAAGAAATGCTGCTGATCATTCCAATGATCCCAAATAGACTCACATTAGGCCACATGAAAGCAACTGAACCCAAAAATATATTAACCAGTATATAACTGCACTCTCACACAACACGCCTGCAGCAACAGTTAGGGCTCCTCCCTCCCTTTTAAAAGCGTTTTTGCTTCTGAGGACATTGTGGTTGTAAAACCACACGCTAGTAGTCTGGCCCCGGTGTGATCAACCAGTTTCTGCGGGAATGTGACGGCGGAACCAGGGCCAGATTAACACTTTGTTGTACCCTGGGCAACAATATTCAAGGGCTCCATCATCACGACCCAAGGATCACCATGTGTGGTCACATACAGAATATTTTACTGTAATATGCAGTAAATATACTCAATACTTGAATGCCTGACAACACGTAACCCGCCCAGAGTAACCTTTGACCCACCTCGTGTGGACTGACCAATGAGGAGAGGGTCTTAACTTGAGGCCCTCTCTTCATTGGTCAGTCTGCATGAGACTGACTCTCAACTGACATTCAGTCATAGGCAGCAAAGCGTCTCTGTGCAGCGTAAGAGCCCGAGTGGACAGTTTGTTTAATGTAGGGTGACCATATTTCCATTTCCAAACAAGAGGACAGGGGATCTGTGCCTATGACGTCACACTATGGCAACGCCACACAAACCATGTTGGGACCCATTTTCTGTAAGAACTAAATTAATATCAGATTCTGCCAATTAAAGGGCTCTAAAACAATTCATATGTAAATATTTTGCATATTTAATGCAAAATCTAATTTTTCTGCTTTAATGCTGCAACAAGGTTTTATTAATAATAAATTATTATACCTTTTGTTTTACTACAGCATCGGTACGCTTCCTGTGCACAGATTATTAAGGATGCTTGTTTCAGCTGTGAGATTAGACGATAGGATCAATGAAAAAATAAGTTGTCACACACTCCATGGAAACTTTCAGAGAATCCACAAATGGTGGCTTTCACATGGTTTTGTTACTTTTAAAAAGTTTAGAAAAGAAGCAGATGAGACAGCATGTCTGATAATTTAGTTTTTCATCTGATAATATTAGAACATGTCAGTAATGTCTGAGGGGCTTTTATAAACACCGTATAACTAACACTACTGGAGAGGGTATGAATTACACAGAGGCTTCTGGGGAGCCCATTTATGGGGGGGGGGGGGGGGGGCATTTTGCTTTGGCCCCCAAAATGTCTTGAAACGGCCCTGGGTGTGTGACTGAGTTTTGAAGGTGCTCTGAATTGTATCAGATGTATAAATATAACATGTGTATAAACTTATTGTTTTTTACTGGTAAAAACGTGTAGTGGAGATAAATCTACCTACATTTTACTTTTCAACACTTTGTTTTGTTTTCTTGTTTTTATTTAACTATTTTCTGTCCTGTCTGTCTCTCATCTTCCTGCATCTCCTCTTAATTCTCCAGAAAATCTGTTGCCTGGATTCTTACCTTTTCACCTCATCAGTTACTTTTGAGCAGATCAAAGGGATCTCCTGACCACACAGCGGAGAGCGCGTTTTCGATGCTGCGTGAGGTGACATCACCACAGCACATGTGATGAGCTCCGCAGTAGCGCGCTTCAGGCACAAATAAGACAAAATAGAGAACATGTGCGGACATGAACGATCGTGTGCTAATTATAGTTTTTTGGTTGAACCACTTTGAGAATGGGACCGTACGCTGGAAGCAGCTGCCTGGATCGCTGCACAACAATGCGGAACCGGTTCGCAGCAGCGCAAGTCTGCCGGCTCTCCCTCGCGCTGATCTGCCGGTACCGGCTCTCCCTCGCGCTGATCTGCCTGGTACCGGCTCTCCCTCGCGCTGATCTGCCGGTACCGGCTCTCTCTCGCGCTGATCTGCCGGCTCTCCCTCGCGCTGATCTGACTTGCTCTGGTCTGCGCGCAATGGCGGCGGGAAGGGGGGGCGCTTTTGGAAGAGTTGTGCGACACAACGAATCGATGACGTAATTCGTTGCCAACGCTTTTAGTAATCGATTTTCATCGAATTTATCGATTCGTTGTTGCAGCCCCTGACAGGGGCACACTGACAGAAGCAAAACTGCTAAACACTAGCACCATTAGTCCCTCCGACACCACCAGCAAGGAGGGTGTCTTGCCCAAGGACACAACAGCAGAATTATCTGTCAGGGGCCGGGATCGAACCTACAACCTTCTGATTACTGGACCACTCGCTCTTCCTCCTAAGATACTGCTGTCCCAAAGAAACTAAAGCTACTTTTTCCACCTGTTGAAAACAAGCGTTTTCTTGGCATCAAAATGTGTCTTTAACGTTCACAGACATTAAAACCATGGCACATATCAAACAGGATCAGAAACTTTCATCGCTCCAGAGACTACCGCTCATGTTTTGGGCAGCAGGGGACGGCAGCAGGGGACCCATGGGCCAGGAGTAGATGGGTGTGACTTTGGCCCCCCAGAGGATGCAGAAGACGGGACTCAGTTGATTTGCTGTGGTGACCCCTGAAGAGAAAAGCTGAAAGAGAGTGATTCGTATTTTTAAACACCATTAATAAACACAACTGGCTCTTTAGAATCCTTTTATTTTTGCTCTTATTTGATGTTATTTATCCTTGCTGTGTATTGATCAGAGATCATCAAAGGTTGCATTCACAAACATCAGCTGTTGTTTAAAACCAGACTGGTGATGTTAAAACAAGACAACCCGTTTGATCTGTGCAGATAAACGGTCTCTCTGCTCAGTGACCCTCTACAGAAACTCACAAGTATTGATTTTAGAAACGCTAATGGACTTATGATCTGTGGTCTGCAAGTCTGGCCTGAAAAATATGAATACAAGTATTGGACTGAGACCTCAGTATTGAACATATTTTTTATTAAGTATACTTAATACTGAACGATTATGTCTGAGCATCCCTAGTCATTATGTCAGCTCATAATAGTACAAGTGACATGCGTTAGACTTTACCTACCTCTGATGTACATAACCAGTTCAGATGACAGTGGCAGACATGAGAACATCAGGAAATGTTGAATGTTGAGACCCCAGGAAGTCTAGCATCTGCACTTAGGCAGAAGCTAATGAGGATCTCAATAAAACGAAACGAAACATCATGACTGCAGAAAGAGTGAGGAAACGTGACTTTATCACAAACCACATTTCATTGTTTTACAATAACATCTAATATGATAAAGCACAGCGTATGTGTTGGGCTACTGCAACAACTGCTACAGCACAACAATTGACCTCAGACTCTGTAAATTAAGAAAGGCTGTTATGTACTCCACATGAACCAACAAATTAGTTTGTCTGCCTGAGGTGGCAGGAGAAAGAAAAGAGTTTGCCATGGCCAAGCGTAGAGCCCCTGGGAACGCCTCATATTAAACAATAATTTGTCAGAAGCCAGAAGAGAACAGAGTTCTGCAAAGGTGATGTGTTGAAAACACGATGCAATAACTCCTAAAACCAGCGCAGGGAGAAAATAATGATGTCACATTTTTCCCAGAGAGAGAGAGAGAGAGAGAGAGAGAGAGAGAGAGAGAGAGAGAGAGAGAGAGAGAGAGAGAGAGAGAGAGAGAGAGAGAGAGAGAGAGAGAGAGAGAGAGAGAGAGAGAGAGAGAGAGAGAGAGAGAGAGGAGAGAGAGAGAGAGAGAGAGAGAGAGAGAGAGAGAGAGAGAGAGAGAGAGAGAGAGAGAGAGAGAGAGAGAGAGAGAGAGAGAGAGAGAGAGAGAGAGAGAGAGAGAGAGAGAGAGCAGAGAGAGCGAGAGAGAGAGAGAGAGAGAGAGAGGAGAGAGAGAGAGAGAGAGAGAGAGAGAGAGAGAGAGAGAGAGAGAGAGAGAGAGAGAGAGAGAGAGAGAGAGAGAGAGCGAGAGAGGAGAGAGAGAGAGAGATTTCTGTGTTGCTGATCTGCTGTGGCAGCCATCTTGAATCTGGTTGATTCCAGTTTTAGATTTGTATCTAGTAATTACAACTGAGCCGTTCATTATAATCTAACCAGAGATTCATGAATTACTTTGCTATGAAGAAGAGAGGCATAAACATTAGTGACCATACTTTGCTCTATGGCTGCAGGTTATGTTATAGATACCATGCCATGCCATACCATTTACTTATAAAGCACATTTAAAAACACAGCATGACAGCTGACCAAAGTGCTGTACAAGTACAAGGATAAAAATACTGTGAGTCAAGAACATCAATTAAACCTGGGAGGTTTGCTGTTTTATTCCTAAGCGATCGGATTTACCATGGGGATGGTATTCACAAAAAACATTGTAACATCTTTTATTCTGAGTGTGTGCCACTCTCAGTTTTCATAATTAATCACTTCAATATGTGCATTGATTAATTAGAAGGCAGGCCAGCTAAAGTGGCATTTTTACATAAGCATGGCCACTATCTTGTGCAAGCAGGCAGGTCCCTTTTTAAAATAGCTTCAGGAATTTTCTGGGTTTTACTTTGTTAGCTTATATCACAGAGACACAGCTCTGGGTAAGGGCTGGGGACGGGGTTCTTGCCCTCCAGCTAGTGTGGATGTGCGCAGTTACCTGGATGTACACATTAACATGCAATGGGTCTATGTGTATATGTGTACGCCAGACTCACTGAGGAGAACACATAAAAGACTCACTGACTGCCCCCTCCCCACAAAGTGCCTCAGTGGGCACGGTCGTATAACTTTTCCAGATCTCTAAACACATGAACAGGCTGGGCAATCTCACACAAGTAGCCTAGCAAGGGTAAAGAGTTGGTCTATGCTCCCACAGCTAATATAAAAACCACATTGTACTAGACCCATGTCCAGTGTCTTCAAACACAACTTTCCAGGGAGGCTGGGCAGCATTGTCCATTATAGGTGGGACACATCTGTGAGTACAAAGGGAAAAAGGAAAATAAATAGGAAGTCCACTTAACGTAGACCTGTGTATTTAAGGACGTTGAATCGTTCTTAGTCTAACCCCTTTCTTAAGTCTGGTTTGTCATGGGGGCCTTTCTCGGGACGAAGCCTCCAGACAACAGGATCACCGGGTTCTCAAACCCTTCCACCACAATAAGGTGGCGATTCAGCAGAAGAGGCTTTATTTTTTCTTTATTAAATCTATACATTTCTACAAAAATATAAATGAATACAAACTTATAAATATATGTACAAAAGTATGAATGTTTTACAAACATGTCAAAAAGTCATAATAATATATAAATGCAGGATAAAAAAAAACTTTTAGAACGGAGGCAGCAGCCTAAGCATAGACGCCGGACCTTCCTTTTCCAAAAACATATAAATTACTCAAAAATGACCATTCTTTTGGGTTTTCTACCCTCTGTGGTATTGGAAACCATAACCTTCAGCAGAGGAATAGTCTGACAGTGGGTTACCTTCCTTCGGTGGTCCTGGGAACACGAATCCTGAGAATGGACTGAAGCCTGGTTTGTTTCTCTTCTGTGGTCTTGGGATTCAGAACCCTTGGTAGGAACAGAAATCTGGTACTGGTTTGCCTCTCTTCTGTTGTACTGGGAACGAGTATCCTGAGTACAGCCAGAAGTGTGGTACTGGTTTGTCTTTCTTCTGTGGTCCTGGGATTGAAGACCCTTGTTAGGAACAGAAGTCTGGTACTGGTTTGTTTCTCTTTGTTAGTACTGGGAAGAAATATCCTGGGAACAGCCAGATGTTTGGTGGTTTTCACCAGATTCCTGCTTATCTGCTCCCTGGTTGGTCCCACAGTTAGTAGGCAGTGATGCTTTTGGGTGGACCTCACTGACCTGGGCGTCTTTGTTGGGAGAAAGGTCAATGATTTCATTATAATTGACCTTAACTCCTAGTTCAACAATTTCAAACCAAGAAAGTTTTCGTGTGGCCTCCATCTTTAAGGCGTGTGAAATATTGATGGGTTCAAAGATAAAACTGTGATAAAAAATCTCAACAATCTGTCCCAAACAATCAGAAAACTGAGTTGAAACAGTATATATCGATTCGAGTCACAAGTGTTTGTGCGGTAGAGACTTGTCTATGTGGTCCGACAACTGATGTTCTTTGGTCCCCGTGGTTACCAAGAGTGGTGTCATAGACTGCTGTCCTTTGATCTATGTAGTTACCAAGTGATGAAGTTAACTGTCTTGAACATTCAATTTGGTTTTCAGTTGTTGTTGTTATGAGTTTTTGACATTAATCACCTTTATT